GCCTTCCCCATACTACTGTCTGTGTCCATGGGTTATGCACATATACATATATGTTCTTTGGTTAATCTCTGACATCTTGATTAACTCAGTCCCCAAACACCTGCAAGTTTGTGCTAGGGACACAGCTTGGCCCCCAGCACACACTGACTACACCCAGCACTCCCAGTAGCTCAGTACCTACCACCTAACCACCCTCACCGCCACCGCGGGCCCTCTGAAATCCCCCTCACTTCTGGGTCCCCCACAGAACAACCAGAGCATCTGTGGCTGAGGCTTCTACCCTGAACCCGCATCACCTGGGTCCCCCAAGCCCTGAGCCCCTACCCCCGACACCAAGCAAACTTCCCTTCTCCCTGCGCTCTGCTGGGCCAGCTCCCCTGCCCGCTCTAGTTTTCCTCCAGAGCTGACCCCCTGGCCCTTCCCCTACCTGAGCATGTGGGTAGCAGGAGCTCTAGGGCCAGCAAAAGCACCCCAAGAAAGCCACAAGAAAAGGGACTCTCCACACGGCGGGAAGATGCCCTGCGTGGCTCATAGGAGGCCCTCATTCTGCCAGACCTCAGCGGGTAAACCCGAGGGACAGGGAGTATTTGTCCCTTTGAGTGCAGGTCCCAGACGCAACAATCCCCAGACTCAGTGTCCAGGGCTCTACACCCAGTGGGTGTGGCCTGCATCATGACGTCAAGTCGGGGCGGGGCCAATGGCGGCCTGCGAGGCGGGGCCTAGGCCCCAAAGCTGCTCTTGGGCCCTGGAGGGAATGGGAGGTGGCCTGGCCAAGGTCTAAGGCAACCAAGTCAGCTGGCACCTCAGGGTCAGCCTGTGCACTGGTGGAGCTGACCATTCTTCAACCTGCCCTCAAGCACCTCCCAGGTCTGCTGGAAATGGTGCTTCACCCCCAAGATCCTAAACAGGCAGTTAGCACTCCACTCAGGAAGGGTGGAGAGACAAGAGCTGGCCCCAGTCATCATCATGCCTTTCCCAGTTCTAGTCTCAGAAAACCCTTTTTGTCTAGATACTGTAAGGACCAGACCCTAAACGCCAAGTGGAAAAAGGGATCCCCCACTTCCACAGGTGGACACTCCCCTTCCACAGATAAGAGAGCCAGGGCCTTTGTTCAAATTTGCCAATAATCAGGCATAATTAGGGACAATACTTGAGATTTCCGGGGTTGAATTCTGCTATTGAATCCTTTCAAGGCCTGTGGGGTTTCAAAATCACCAAGATGATTTGGCCACTGCACTGGGCCCAAACCCCAATGTAAATGCCTCTGCCCCTGGTCCCTTGAGAGGACCCCAGGGAAAGTAATTTATTAAACATCATGCCATTAAGGATATTGGGTCTCAACCTCTAGGGCCCTTGCTGTTTTGGAACTAAACATTTTATTGAAAATAAAATACACATCACGTGAAAAATACACAGATATATTAAGGGTCAAATTCCTGGATGTGGTTTATGCCTTGATTGGTGGGATGAGTAGGAATCAGTAAGAGAGAGAACTTTTGTGGTGAAACCATCTCAATTCTGGAACATTAAGAATGAGCAAGCTTTACGTGTAGAGTTGTGAGTACACGTGTATGAGTAGTTTTATAAAAGAGTACCAGGAGGGATATTAAAGAACATACGAAAGGAGCTGACATTTTTGTTCCTTAGCTGGCAAAGAATCAAAATGTCAGCAATTGTGACTCAATGTACGAGGAACAGCAATATCCTCAAGTTTTTCATTTTTATATAACTGTTGTATGTTAAAGGTTTTAAAAGGGACATGGCTTTTACACCATTCCTGATTGGCATTTATCCCAAAGAAGTCACTAAAGCTGTGAGCAAAGATGTGGAAATTTCCAAAAATATAAATGCTATGGAAACCAGTGTGGCTCAGTGGTAGAGCATGTCTGCGGATTGAAAGGTCCCAGGTTTGATTTCGGTCAGGGACATGTACTTTGCGGGCACATCCCCGGTTGGATGTGCAAGAGGTAGCTGGTCTGTTTCTCTCTCATCGACGTTTCTAGCTCTCTGTCTTTCTCCTTTCCTCTCTGAAAAAATCAATAAAATATATTTTTTTAAAAAGAAAGAAAAATATAAATGCTAAGTGTGTAACACCAGTATTTATGGGAATCCTATGCAGCGCGCAGTGTAAAAATATCAATGTAAATTGACAGATTTGTAAGTGGACAAACAGACTCTACGTGACCCTTGCGCTGCCTTTATAAAACAGCCACTAGAGGGGAGGGGAAGCAGATAGTTTTGATAAAAAGAACAAGGGAACATTACTCTACTGAGTCCATTGCTTTGGTTTCATTGCCAGTAATTACTTAGCTGGATTATGTTCCTGCTTTAGTCTTTGAAAGCAATCTGCATGTAGAAATTTATCAATTTCTTCTAAATTGTAGAACTTGTAGGCAAGTAATTGTTTGTAGAGCTTTTTTTAATGATTCCTTATATTTCTGTGGTATCAACTGTAACTTCTCTAATTTTTTTTTTTAATTTGGGTTCTCTCTTTTTCCTTGATGAGTTTGGCTAAAGGTTTTTCAGTTCTCTTTATCTTTCCATAGAACTAGCTTGCATTGATCTTTTCTATTGTCTTTTTTAAATTTTCTATTTTCATTTATTCCCATTCTGATCTTAATTATTTCATTTCTTTTTATGTTTTGTTTGTTAATTTTATCTAATTCCTTTAGATGTAAAGCTGGATTGTTTATCTGCAATGCATCTTGGTTCTTGAGGCGTCTATGACTATGAACTTTTCCTCTTAGAATTGCTTTTGCTCCATCCCATACCTTTTGAAAAGTTGTGTTTCATTTTTATTTTTCTCAAGGTACTTGTGATTTCCTTTTTGGTCCATGGTTGTTTAGTAGCATGTGTAGCTTCCACACATTTATGTTCATTTTGAGTTTTCTTTCTGTACTTGATTGCTAGTTGTATGCCACTGTGGTCAGAAAAGGTACTTGAATTCAATCTTGTTGAATTTACTGAGGCTTATTTTGTGGCCTAATATATGGAATATCATGAAGTATGTCCCTTATGTGCTTTTACAAATATGTATTCTGCAGTTTTGGGATAAAATGTTCAGTGAATGTCAATATGGTCTAATGTGACATTTTAAAGGGCATTTCCTTACTGAATTTTTGGTCTGGATGATGTCTCCATTGAAGTGAGTGGGGTATTGAGATCCCCACACTATTTTTGTGTCACTGTGTGTTTCTCCCTTTATGTCCATTAATACTTGCTCTATCACATATGTAAAACACAAGGCCCGCGGGCCAAATCCGTCCCACCAGGCCTTGCAATGTGGCCTGCACCCGGCTGTCATCACTGCACTCCGCTGTGTTTCCATCACAATGACAGTTTATGACTGTTCAGTAAACCATTCGGCCCGCGACTTAGGCTGGATTTTAGATTTTGGCCCCTTCTCTGATTGAGTTCGACACCCCTACATATAGTTAGGGGTACTTATGTTGGGTGTGTAAATATTTACAATTGTTATAGCCTCTTCACTATTGAAATTTGATATTTATGTAATGTCCCTTTGGTCTCTTTTTACATTCTTTTGTATTTTGTCTGAACTGAGTTTTACTATGCCAGCTTTTTGTTTCTATTTTTATGCAATATCCTTTCCGTTTCCTTTCAATTTGAATGAATCTTTCATGTAAAGTTAGTGTTTTGTAAGCAGCATAGAGATGGGTTATGTTTTTAAATCAATTCAGCTACCCTATACCTTTTTATTAGAGTATTTAATATATTTATATTTAAAGTTATAAGTGTGTCCTAATTGTCACTTTGTTTTATGTTGTTGATGATGTTTTTGCAGTTTTGTTTTTTTCTTCTTTTGATTCCTGTCCTGTGGTTTGCTAGTTTTCTTTATTGTTTTACTTGGTTTACTTTCTCTTTATTCTTCGTGTGTCTTTAATAGGTTTTGGTTTGTGGCTATCATGAAGTTTATGTACTAGTATGTCACTCTTTTCAACCCTTTTCATCTCCTGGCACACAAGCTAATAACTAACATTCTGCAGCACACCAAAAAATATATATATTTTTTGCTTGCCTGACAAAAAAAATGAGATATAATTTTGATTCATTCACACCAGGTGGCTATTGTTCTATTGACTATTGTCACTTCTTTATTTGACAACCTCAGGGAAAAGAGGTCAGTGCCCCTGACTAAATAGTCAGGTATTGCAAGTTAAAAAAAAAAAAAATTGTGGCATATTGGTTGAAAATTGCTGATCTATATATAGCAATCTATTAAAAATGGATAGGCATTTACATTTTAATATAGTCTAAAATATACTACACGTTTACTCCCATACCTATGCTTTATGTTTTTGATGTCATATTTTAGATCTTTTCATTTTGTGTCTCTCCTAACTACTCTTTAAAATGTAAGTTGAATTTGGTACTTTTGCCTTTTGACTGTTTGAACTTTTTAAATGTCTGGTTTGGTGCTTTTGTTAAATATTTGTCATTACCTATGATTTTTTTAGTCATACTTTCTTCCATTTCTTATAAAGCTGCTTTAATGGTAATGATCTCCTTTAGTTTTTGCTAGTTCAGGAAACTCCTTACCGTTCCTTCAATTCTGAATGATATCCTTGGCAGTTAAATCATTTTAGGTTGTAGGATCCATAAAGATCCATGATTCTCTGCAGGATTTAAACCTCAAACTCCACACATTTTTCTTACAGTCATAATAGCTAAAGCAATTCTGGTTAGATTAGTCTTGTTCCAATGACATTAAAAGCACCTGAAAATACTCTTAGCAAGAAGTGCAATTCTGACAACACACATTTTTCAAAGGCAGCATACAATACAGAGTGCAAAGAAAGGCTTCACAAAAGTATGGCATGAGTGAGAAGCACTTCCCAGCCGGTGTGGCTCAGTGATTGAGCGTTGAACCATGAACCAGGAGGTCATAGTTTGATTCCTGGTTAGGGGACGTGCCTGGGTTTCGGACTCATTCCCCAGTGTGGGGCATGCAGGAGGCAGCCAATTGATGATTCTCTCTTATCATTGATGTTCCTATCCCTCTTTTCCTCTCCCTTCCTCTTTGTGAAGTCAATAAAAACATATTTTTCAAAAAAGAGTGAGAAGCACCGATACGTTCTAGAAATACATTTAATTTACTCTCTTTGGCTGATGTGAAGATACCTGTACACACCGGTGCCAACTACTGCAACGCCAAGACCTACAAGAAACCAGAAAACAAGTGACATGTAACTCTAAAAACGGATACCCAGTTCCAACCAGCAGAAGGAATGAATGTTGCTTACATTTCAGTGGGCAGAAATATTATTTTATTAAGTGCATATACATTCATATTCTATCTGGACTCTTCACTGCCTAAATGCAATTCCCTGGAATCACAGTCCACAGTAAGCCAGACAAGAGTTCTTGCTTAATTTAGAATACTACTCAAAGCATATTTGGGATGAAAACTCATATGACTAATCATATTTTTTTTAAAAAAGATGTGCTATATAGGGTTTGTTATTAAATGGAAATATGGAATATATAATAGAAAAATACAAAATCACCAGAATAAAGTAGCATACCATTTAGGCTGGTTTACTTAAATACTGTGGGAACAGGGAAATCATTTTTAAAAATGCACTTTTCCACAGCGATATTTTAAGTGGTATCCAGGTGTGAGACACTTACTTGCTGAAGAACCATCAGAACAATGAGTCCTCCACCTGAGGAATAAATGAAACCAGTGTGAGGGTAATTTAGCACCTGTGTGTCTCCAGATAGTTGCTATATTTAAATGTAGGTCAGTCCATCCACAAACTACATCGAAGAAAATGTTCAGTCTCCTTCAGTGTGACTGCTGATGCACCAGCTCATTTTGATCACAGAGCCCTTCTAATCTGACCCCAGGCTTAGGGCCCAACACTGTTCTGGTGCAGGAGCTACCAGACTAGGTTAGTTAGTAAAGGATATTATTAGAACACACAGGGCTCGTTATATTAGAGAAAACTTGTTCTAAAAATATGTCATCTCTTTCTAGTGGGTTTAGTTCCATAGTCAGTATACCATTTCTTATAATATAATTAGGGATTGAATTTATATTTTTACCAAAAGCTGGTCTGTAGAATAAGTCATAATAAAGAGCTATCTTATTCTGTCACACAGATGTTACCTGTAGCCTACACAAACAATGCTTTATCTCATCATCAACCCATCCTTATATCTTTTTCCAAAGAAATAGTATGATATAGTCATAATAATTAAGGAGATACTAAGAATGTAAATGAAACACCAGGGCACATGGTAAAAAAGTATGCTTAGAAACTTAAACATACATTTTTTACTATACAGAGAGCAATAAATAAAACTACCACATCTTAGTTCTTGGTAATGTTAGCAGTATCTGCTTCTAAGCTGCCAGAGTTTTTATTAAATTTCTATAAAAACATAATACAGTATTATGTTTTCTTTTACTCTTTTTCATTTTTATAAATAATAGTCAATTTTACTCTTTTTACTTTTATAAATAATTGTCAATTTTACTCTTCATTTTTATAAATAATAGTCAATTTTACTCTTTTCATTTTTATAAAAAATTGTCATCTTAACATCTTAAGATGGCAATGGGTTTACTGACACGGGACCACCGTGTTCCGGGGAGAACATAACAAGCCTAAGGTGCGTTTCATGAAAAGGCTAACCTTATTAAACACATCTAACGTAAATAAAAGCAATATTTTTTTTCATTTTACTCATCTAGAAATATTTATATTTCATTAATGGTACAACTTTACTTTATCGGATACTTTAACATATGTTGTGTGAACCTTGGGAGTGTACATAAAGTGTGATGCACCAGCCGGTTGTAGAAAAAAACAAACCCAATTTATGGTATTTAAGGCTTGGATATACAGGTATGAATAGGAAGAAATTAACCTATAAATTACCATCACAAAATAACACGATCGCATAAAAAGCAAGTTACATTCAATAAATTTTAACTTGCGTATAAACATAGCAATTGAAAAAGTGACCCCACCCTATTAGGAATCCTAAGTTGAGGCATCTTTTAAAAACTGTGTTAACTACATGTGTCTACATACTACTGCTTACATTTGTCATAGTATCTGCAACACTGAAATAAGTACGAGTGTCAATTATCACTCATTTGAGACAGGTTGTTCCTTCTCTAACTATAGGCCCGTGGTCGGCAAACTGCGACTCTGGAGCCACATGCGGCTCTTTGGCCCCTGGAGGGTGGCTCTTCCACAAAACACCACGGCCTGGGCGAGTCTATTTGGAAGAAGTGGCGTTAGAAGAAGCTTAAGTATAAAAAATTGGCTCTCAAAAGAAATTTCAACCATTGTACTGTTGCTATTTGGCTCTGTTGACTAGAGAGTTTGCTGACCACTGTTCTAGACAATTGAAATATGATCTTTCCATGTAGAACTCTAAGGCCACATAATGCAGAGTCATCAAAATAATACCGTATTCCTTATTGTCTTTAGGTGGTGGTGTACTATTTGCAGAGGGTTTCCCTGGGAAAACAAAAAAAACAAAAAAAGAAGTTAAAAAAGTAAAGACAATAAAACCTTTGTAAAAACAAACAAACAAACAAACAAAAAAACTTCTTACCAATTTTTTTCTTTTATAAGTTACCTTAAAGTTTTTTTTTCATTAAAAGTAGTATGAAGTATTATAAATTTATATACAACATCATCAGCATTCTTCTTCCTACCCATTAATATTTCCTATAACAATATTCTTGGAAGGGCAAGTGAATTTATCATTAGTTCATTGTTAAAATTAGCCCGTGGCAGGGTTCTGCCCTGCGGCTCTCCACTGTCAGGCCAGGTGCTGGTGTTTCAGACAAAGAAACCCAACCACAGGGGCCTGCAGCCACTTGGACTCCCAAAACTCGCCTCCTGTGGCCCTTGGAGTGGGGTCTGGAGTATATTATCTGTTGAAGTAGAATCCCTGATCCCTCTGTGACTGAACCCTAAGAGAGTTGCGCGGGATGGACCCCCAAAGAGGTCAGGGGTTGCCACTATGGTGAAGGCAAAACAAAGCCCACCTCCAGGCAGCACAGCAGCACTGTCTTATAGAAGCCACGGAGGTTCCAGACTGGGAGATCACAGAGGTATAAACCTTGTGATTCTGTTTCTGTTCATCAGCTTATGTTGTTCATTACATAAATGAGTGAGATCATGTGATATTTCTCTTTCTCTGACTGGCTTATTTCACTTAGCATAATGCTCTCCAGTTGAACAAAAACAGATCCAGAGACGAGAAACATTGATCAGACCATTAAGAATGGTCAGAGGGAAGTAGGGGGGAGGAGGAGGAGAGATCAACCAAAGGACTTGTATGCATGCATATAAGCCTAACCAATAGAGACAGACACCAGGGGGGTGAGGGCATGAGTGGGAAGGATGGGGGGCGGGTAATGGGGAAATAAGGATATATATGTACTTTAATCAATAAAGAAATTTAAAAAAATAAACCAACAACAACAACAAAATATGCAGAACAGATATTTTTATGGCAAGCTATTACCCCGGCAGACACATCAAATATATCATGGTGGAAGGCAGTGATCCAGCAATGGACCAAGTATAAATCTTACAAATAAAGATTGGAAAAAGTAAAAAAATAAAAATAAAATCTTGTCATTCAGCACCATCTACTAGGGGGAGAAAAGGGTCCCAATATAAGGTGACAAGGGAAGATCTGACTCTGGGTGATGGGTGCATGGAGCAATATACAGATCTTATATAGAAGCCCACACCTGAAACCTATATGTCTATATTGATCAATAAAAAAAAAATTAACCTGTGGGTTCAATGTGACCCTACTTAAATTTAAAACATAGGAAGACTTACTAAATGATTTAGAGTCTCATCTGCAATTAAAGGAAATTGCAATACGATAAAAATCATTTACAGGAAATCCTCATATACTAAGTGAAATCAGCCAGAAGTGATTCCACTTTAATGAGGTACCTAGAATAGTCAAATTCATAGACAGAATATTAAACAGTGCTTATCAGGGCTGGGGGAGGATGAATAGAGGGTTATTGTTTAATGAGTATAATGTTTCCATTTGGGATGATTAAAAAGTTTTGGAGTAGTAACGGTTTGCAGGACAATGTGAATGTACTTAATACCATAGAAATGTACCTGTAAATGGTTAAAATGGTAAAAATAAATAAATAAAATAAAATAAAAAATAAAGTAAAATAAAAGTTGTCCCACAAAAATGAATATAAAGTCCCAACATTTCTGAAACTGTTCTGACAGATATTTTAACAGATAGCAGTACAGTGAGAAAACATTATTTGGTAGTGGCAAAGGCATGGGCGGAATTCAAGGGAACAGAGACAACTAGAACACTAATGAATTTAATGTATGTTAAACCTGACACTTCCAACAGTAGGAGAGCAGACAAAACAGTAGAGTGGGTGGAGTGTAAAGGAACCCTATCAATCCATATACTATAATGAATTTCAGATGTGCCAACAATTTAATGCAAGGAGTGTATTCAGACATGATCTCCCTCATTTATTGGTAATAAAGAACATTATAACCTGATGAACAAAAAGCTTGATATAGAGGCAGAGAAGCATTGAACAGAATGCCAAATTACAGCAGGAAGGCTGGGGAGGGGAGACGGAGGTAAGAATCAATGGAAGGACTTGTATGCATGCATATAAGCAGAACCAATGGACGCAAGACACTGGGGGGTGAGGGCATGTATGGGAGTGGAGTCGGGGAGCAATGGGGAATATGGACACATGTAATACCTTAATAAATAAAAAAATTAAAAAAGGGGGAAAAAGAAGCAATCAGAACATATGGTGGAAGTGTTTGTAATTTGAGCGTGGGGAAAACCTACAGATTTTATAATAAAAACACAGGAGAAAAAAGTCAATAAATCCAACTTACTGTAAAACCTCTGCACATATAAATGACCACTGATAGGAAAATGTTTAAAATTTGGCATATATCAAAGTAATCTCCCAAAGGATAGGAATAAATCTAAACACACCCCCAATCTAAACACACCCCAATCTAAGATAGTGTAAAACGTGCAAGTTTTAGAAAAATATAAACAGCATGATGCCATTTCTGGGAAGGAAAAGAAAAGAAAAAAACCCACAAAATATGTAAAATTGCACAAATAAGGATATTGGTGTATAGAAATAGATGAAAAGACACCTAAACTATTATGTGATTAACTCAGGTAATGGACGAGAAAAAGAGGAAACTATCTTTTACTCTGTATACTTTTGTAATGTATAAAATTTTCCAAATTAATCTGTAGGCTACTTATGTAATAAAAATGTATTGTACAAAAGTGCAGTATATCTCAAACTGGATAAAATCTTTTAAAAAATGGCTATTAACAACCAAAGGACTTGTATGCATGCACATTAGCATAACCAATGGATACACACACTGGGGCAGTGGGGGCTTGCCCAGGATGGGAATGGCTGGGTGGGAGTGAGTCAATTGAGGAAACAGGAGACATATGGAAAACTTCAGATAATAAAAAAATTTTTAAAAAGGCTTATTAAAAATAAGGCAATGAAAAGAAACCTAGAAAATAATGTTCACTTTGTATCAAAAAGATTTTAATTTATAATGAGTTCTGATAAATGAACAATATTTTAAAACATAAATAAATAAATATAGACCCAAAATGTTTCATTTCTTTGATTAACGAAAGAAATGCAAATTAATACATGACATTTTTTTTTTTTACCCACCACCTTATGAATTTCTTTTTTTTTTTTTTGAAGGAATCAGTATAGTACCACTTTCCTGAGTCTTTTTTTAAAATATATTTTATTAATTTTTCATAGAGAGGAAAGGTGAGGGATAGATATAGTTAGAAACATCGATGAGAGAGAAACATCGACCAGCTGTTTCCTGCACACCCCCTACTGGGGGGAATGTGCTGGCAACCAAGGTACATGACCTTGACCAGAATCGAACCTGGGACCTTTCAGTGCACAGACCAACACTCTATCCACTGAGCCAAACCGGTTTTGGCTGAATTTCTTAAGAATGTAAGTAAGAAAAAGAGTTACTGAACCTGGAGTGCTGATGGACACTGGAGGAGGCACGGCCTGATTAGCAGGATTGACATCTGGAAAGATAAATTTGATTCTATTCACCAGATTTACCAGCATAAAATTAATCATTTAATTTGATTTTTTTAAATTACTTTAAAAGATTATTTTTCAAAATGAAAAATACACTTACTTTCTAAATTTTGAAATTCTACTTCTGGAAAGTCACCTAAATATATAAAAACATTTGCATAAGAATGTTTACTATTATAACTTTGTATTTTATAACATAAATCTTAGAAGTTTAATAATAAATCATAAAAATAACATCCTCAGAGTAAACCTGTATATCTTTTTTAAAAATTCACATCCAAGTCATCCCATCATACATGATTTTTAAGTTTCCTCCTTTTCCACTTAGTTTTTCATGGACATTTTTTTTTCATATATGCATGATTACATCTACCTTATCACATTGGATGTTGCTAGTGTTCCTTTTTTTTTGCAAAGTCTTCCTGTAACTGATGATAAAAATAATTGAGAGTCTTTGATATATAAGAAAAGATTCCTGCCCTTTATCTTCTTCATAAAATGTCTTCATGTTTAATTATCTCCTATTGGGTACACTAAATTGTATCACTGTTTTGAAATCCTTTATACATTTTTATGGTCAACTCCATTAAAAAGGAGCGTATCTGCAAACCTGCTATTCCACTGTGCATATACCTGTAGGACCCTGTGAGTAAACACGATGGGTCGATGAATACAAAGTTCACATGCAATTTTAATGTACCAGTCCACCAAAAAAACCATCTCTTTCTCCCTGACAGCTCACAACACTCAACTAAGATTCTCAAGGAGGCTACCAGTAACCAGATATACTGGAGTTATAAAAAGGCGCTTTAATTACCATGTTAGCATGCATAATTCCCCGGAATCCTTTAAAATATTAAGACAACAGGAAATATAGAAACAAATTAGAAGCCAGTATTAGAATTTGTTTGAGTTCAACACCCTCATTAAATGATAGAAAATGAGAACCCATAGAAATTATGTAATTGAGTAATTAGAGCCAAACTAGGACTCTGAGTGAAATCAGCCCAAGCTAATACTCTTCACACTACGGTAGTTTCCCCACATGTATGGGGGATATGTCCCAAGACCACCAGTCAATGCCTGGAATAACAATTTCTACCAAACCACATAAATACACACATATATGTGTGTATATATGTGCATGTGTATATATGTGCATATATGTGTATATACTGTATATACGTAAATATGTATATATGTATATCACTGAGTGGCCAGATTATTATACATAATCTCAGTGTACTTCTCTTGAGTACTTCATTTATTTGATATCAAAGATACTATAAATCGTGCCCTGATCAGTTTTCCCCTTTGCACTGGCATATAGGTGGTTGATCTCCAGCAAAAGTCTAGAATACTTTTGGTACCCATTTGAGATACAAATACATTGAGTGGCCAGACTATTATGTGTTCAGAGATCATAATAATCTGGCCACTCAGTGTATATATATATATATATATATATATATATATATATATATATATATGTGTGTGTGTGTGTGTGTGTGTATATATATATTTGTGTGTGTGCGTATACACATATATATAAAATGTATATTAAGTTAGCCTCTACACATACATAACTATAATAAAGTTTAAGTTATAAATTAGTCACAGTAAGAGATTAACAACAATAACTAATAACCAAATAAAACAAATACAACAATATCTTATAATAAAAGTTATGTGACTGTGGTCTCTCATCCTCAAAATATATCCTTGTACTATACTCTTCCTTCTGCCTACAGTGATGAGATGAAGTGGGTTGGATACAGTGGACCAAGGAATGATTCACATCCCAGGTGGGACAGAGTGGGCTAGCATGAAATTTCATCATGCTACTCAGAATGGCGAGGATTTTAAAATGAATGAATTGTTTATTCTGGGAATTTCCCATTTAATATTTTGGACCACAGCTGCAGGTAACTAAGATAGCAGAAAGCAAAACCACAGAGAAATGGTGACTATTGTATTCCTCTTGTTTCTACTGCAACCAGTGGGAAGCCAGAGATAGCAGCACTGAAATCAGGAAAATAATTCCTTCCACCACATGAAAATCATCTCGCAAGTCTTAAGCAGAGCAGCTGATGGGTAGTCCATGCAAGAAATCATCCATTTCACTCTGCCTTTCGGTTATGAAATGTATTTTTGTTGTCAAATTAAAAATTCCCAGTAAGGAGAAAAAGTCATTGTATGAGGTGAGGTGAGGAGAGGTGGGAGTAATAGGAACATGGGTCTTGTTCTGGAGACAGCAGAAATTTTGAAATTTTCCAATTAAGTGGGAAAATGTCAATGGCTACAGTTCAGGAAATGAAACAGTCCCATACTAGTAGATACCCTGTTCACGTGTCACCACATCACTTTTTAAAAATAAATTAAATAGCGAAGTTGAGGACACATGAAAAAGGCACCTTATAAAAACAGAACACCATGTGCCCACCATCCAGATATCATTGCTGACAGGTATGCATAAGAAACTGTTTGACATTGAAATTGGGACTCAAACATTTTTTGTTATTATATGTTTATTTCTAGTCTGCAGAGGCGAGATTTTTTAAAGGAAAGAAATGGGGGGGAAATAGATACAGAGGCAAAGAAGCATTGCACAGACTGCAAAACTACAGCAGGAAAGCAGAGGAGATTTGGGTGGGGTTGGGGACTGTAAGAGATCAATCGAAGGACTTGCAGGCATGCATATAAGCATAACCAATTGATACAAAACACTTCGGGGGGGAGGCGGGCAGGTGAGGGCATGTACGGAGGGTAGGAGAGGCTGGGGGGAGGCCAGTGGAGGGAAAAATGTGACATATGTATCACTACTTGAAATACTTCAAACAATAAATTAAGAACAAAAAACAAAAACAGAAGCCATAGACCTTCCAATTCCCAAATACTGATTGGAGTGATGCTCTAAATCTATGAGTTTCCTTTAAGAGCTTCCTAAACGACAGACACTGTGCTAAGTGCTTTGAATACATGACATTTTAACTGTCTTGCCACCCAGTAAGGAAGGAATTACCTATGAGTAAGTACATTTAAACTTTACACAGCTTGCCAAGGTCACACAACTGTGTATGTGCTGACTATGGCACTGAGTATAACTACTAAAATAGCTGTAAGTATGTACTTCTCCCTTCTTTACTAAAAATGACAAGTGAAAATCACCAGAGATACAAAATATTTTTAAAAATCACCAATGTTTAAATATTTAAAGAATTTTGAAAAGATAAGCAGGAAATTACTAAGCCTGAGAAATGGGAAATTATAGATTTTGACCTGGGAGGAGGCAACACTGGATAAAGAAGTAATGTAGGTTGGATCAAATGTTCGGACATTATTGCTTTATTTTCATTTGTATAAAATTATGCTTTTCGTTCTTGACTTGGGTGTAAACTCCAATCATTCAATGTACTCTGAAAAAAATGGTTGCTATATATTTCATACTTTAATAGGCCAAACAACAGAAATTATACACCTGTGTGATATACAGAATGTGCTAAGAACCTATGAAACTTACTCTGAAAAACGGTTGTTATATATTTTTGGATATATGGATATATATTTACACATTATATATGTGATGTATAGAATGTGCTAGGAACCTATGAAATTTACCCTGAAAATGTTACTATATATTTTTACACATAAACATGCCAAACAACAGAAACTTACACACCTGTGTGGTTTACAGAATGTGCTAAGACCCCATGGAAACATATAAAATAACAAGAGCAGAATTATTTGTACACTGGATGTCATACCTCTGTCATGGAAATGAATACAAGACAGCGTTAATTACTAAAATGGCTTCTTTCCCATTATCCTGTGTCACCGATTTTTTTTTTAATGTTAAAGAAATAAAACCTTTAAAAACAAACAAGAAGGAAAAAGATACCCTTTGTACCTTTAACACACGTTGGAATCTGAGGCTCCCAATCATTGTTAGGTCCACAGGTAATCGTACTGCTACCTTGAAGGTCAAAACCCTCCAGGCATTCAAGGTCAGCCTTTGCTTGGTAATGATACACTTTTTCATGTCCTGACACCAGTCTGCCATTCTCGACCACTGGAATCTCACATGTAACCACTGAGAAGTGAAGACATTTCAGAGTTAATGAAAATGTGCTGCTCTAACAAAGGAGAGAAAAACTAGTGCAAAGTCATAATTTCCACTGAGAACACAGAGACAAGGAATGAAAGGCAGGATGTTGATTTTTTATAAGAAGTGTTTGATTTGTGCATTTTAATTTCAGCAAACAGATTGAGAGAAATGTAACAATTTTTTTTTTTTTTTTTTTTTTTTTTTTTTTTTTTTGCCAGCTAAAACAAACTTGTCATAGTTTATTGGCTTCTCACATTTTTTTCTACTGCAAGTTTTGAGAAAGGTCTGATTACCAGATTTAAGTTCTGGGTCAGTTCAAAAAAATTTCTTTTAAAAATAGTTTTAATTGATATTTTACAGAGAGGAAGGAAGAGGGATAGAGATCTAGAAACATCGATGAGAGAGAAACATCGACTAGCTGTCTCCTGGGGATGTGCCCGAAAACAAAGCACATGCCCTTGACTGGAATTGAACCTGGGACCTTCCAGTCCACAGGCCGATGCTCTATCCACTGAGCCAAACTGGTTTCGGCCAAACAAACTTTTGATACTCATCATTTTGGGGGGATGCAGGAGGGTGTGTGTGTGTGTGTGTGTCTAGCAGGATTTTTTTCAATTACAGTTGACATTTAATATCATGTTAGTTTTAGGTAGATGGTTAGACACTTATATAGCTGGGCACCATACACAGGTATTACAATATTCTTGACTACATTCCCTGTGTGGACCTCACACACCTAGGACTATTTTGTAACTACCAATTTGTACTTCATTCCTCCTCCTTTTTCACCCAGCCTCCTATCTAACCCCCATCCCGTCTGGCATCCTTCAGTTTTTCTGTATCTGTAAGTTTCTTTTGATTGCTTATTTCATATTTTTAGATTCCACGTATAAGTGAAATCCTGTGGTATTTGTCTTTCTCTTATTTCACTTAGGACAATGCCCTCTAGCTCCACCCATGTTGCTGAAAATTGTTGGAATTCACCCCTTTTATGGCTAAATGACATTCCATTGGATACAGGGTGCTCCCCCAAAATGTACACACACTTTTAACAGCTCAGAGCTCAATTTTGAAAATAAAATGTACTTTAGCAAACACTGCCTTTATGATTATGGAAAGTGTGTGTATACATTGTGAAGGACACCCTATATATGTACCACATCTTCATTATCCAAATGTCTATCGACAGACACTTAGGTTGCTTCTTTATCTCTGCTCTGATATACAAAATGGCCTTCTTTGTCTCTTGTTATAGCCTTGGTGTTAAAGTTTATATTATCTGATGTAAATAATGCTTTTCTTCAGGTGTTTTTTAAACTTCCAACTGCCTCAAATATCTTTTAGCCAGAGTGTAATTTTTTTATGCTTTCAAGCAAAAAACCAAAATTCTTAATTCATGCGTACATTAAGTAATTCACAATGTATACAGTGAAATACCAAGAACATGTGGGTGAAGGGTGGGGAACTCTAAAACTAGAACTAATTTTTATTCTGTTTGACCTATGTTGAATTAAATTAGGAACCTATGTAACAGGAGGAGCAAGCACATATGGTTTTTGTTTGTTTTTCGGTAAAAGTAATTTGAAAGTATTTACATATGATTTAAACAGAGAGAAAGAAGTAAATGGAATTATTTTTACATTTACACTGAGGAGAGTCACTACTCCATATTTTATACACAGAAGCCTGTTCCCTTCAGTAAGTGAATATTCATCTGGTGAATTCATATGGTCCATTTGAAGGATTAGGACTATAAAATACTTCATTGTATTCAAATGTATCTTTGAGGTTCTTGGTGCATTTTTCCATTTGATATTTCTCTAGGGGGTTGACACAAAATCCCTTAATAAGAGAGAAAAAAGAAGACATAGAAGGCAAAAGAAAAGGTGAAGGACGAAGACAGTATTTGTAATGTCCTGTGAACTGTCTTCAGTCATTTATATATGATATCTACAATCCAGTTGTGAATCCAATATCCATCTAGAAGAAAGTTTCTACAAGAAAATATCCCAAATCAAAATACTACTGTGCAATGAACTTTTATTTTCTTAAATATATTTGTATTGATTTCTGAGAGGAAAGGAGAGGGAGAGAGATAGACAGATCAATGATGAGAAATATTGATTGGCTGCCCCCTATTGGGGATTGAGCCTGCAACCCAAGGGTGTGCCCTTAACACAATTGAGCTGGGTACCCTTCAATCTGCAGGCCAATGCTCTATCTACTGAGTCAAACTGACTAGGAAGTAATATGCAATGAACTTTTAGAATAAAAGTAATTTTCTTAAAAAAAAAGTTATGTTAAATACCTATATTTTTCTGAAAGGCCATGATTAGGTTTGTTCTCATTATTAGAGAACTGGTAACTTAGTGAGAAAATAGATCTATGATTAAACTAAAACTCTGTGCTAGTTGAAAAATGCTTTATACTTTATAAATATATCCAATATCTATTCCTAACTCAATGGTTTACAGTAGTATTTAGTAATACTTAACAACATCAAGATATTATTGTGTATTTTTTCCCCTCAGTTTCATCCGTAAGAGTGTTATGGTGAAAATTTCTGGCGGTTTTGGAGAGTTTAATAATGCAATAGAATGAATTTTCAGGCTAACTTTTAAGCCACATATAAAAAAATTTTGAAAAAAAAATGTAAAAACGATTTCACTCTTTGCTTTGAAAATTTTTTATTAGATGAAAAAAAATGTGGCATTTGTTCATCTGTATTGAGCTTACTGTTTGTAAAAATGGATTAATATGTAATTATTTTTAAAATGTCTGTTTAAATGCCAATATAATGAATATCAATAGACCTAATACATCTGCAGAAGATCTCCATGGGGTATTTGTTAACTTAGCAGCATAAAGGGGTCACCAGGCCAAAAAATTTGAGGGCTACTTCTTTAAATTCTAAAGAGAGAATATACTTACTTTCACACTGTGGGGGGTTATCACTCCATTCCACATCATCTCCAGAAAGATTACAATATAGAATGTTTGCTCCAATTAACCTATAACTACATGAGAAAAGATCACTGTCTCTTATCAGTTAAAAGGAAGACTCACAATAAAACAAGTTTGTATGTTTTGTTTTTTTACTATACCACAGTAGTTTCAGGGAAAAACGTGTCCTAAGTGACATGTACTGAATGTGCTAACCAAATCTGCAGTGTAATGAAAGAGAAATTCTGAGTGTGAGCATGTAGTGGTCTAGAGCAAAATGTCTAAGTAAATTTATCATTGCTGTCAGCCTGGCCTCTTCGTTATACCCGGCAATTACATCAACATTCACTTCTCTGCCCTTGCTCACGTCATTCGGCTCAGTCAAGACAGTCAGGACAAGCATGAACAGAGAGAGATCTGTCCCTCGATCTTACTTGACTGGATTTGAGTCCCCGCTCCACAACCGAATTGTTATTTGTGTTGGGCAAGTCCCATAATGTTTCTCTTTCTTGATTTCTGCATTTAGATAACGAATAATAATATGTGTTCTGTGGGTTGTTTCAAGTAGTACATGAGTTTGCATCTGGGACACCGTGAATGCAGTAGGTACGTTTTGGTGTAATGAATATTTTTCAGGTCGGAATGCCTTCCTAGGAATAGCTCAGAAATACTCCTATTTGATGAAATCTC